GGAAATTCTTTCTGAATATAAATGATGAAAGGGGGCCACTCTTGACCAGAATACCACTACTGCATTACAGGTGTGGTCAGACCAGAAACTGCAAGCCTGACGATACTGGGGAAGGCAGCCAGGGCTGGCCTCAGGCTTCTATGGGCAATATTCCTCTGCTCCTGTTGCCTTAGCATCACTGTGCCCCACCCAAAGTCTCAACATTCGTCCTTGGTCATCTCCACTGGCCTTTGGAAAGTTATTGAGGACTAAGTTTAGCAACAATCTCTCACAATTGTTTTTCCATTTCATTAGAAGAGTCTTGATTAGTAAGAAGTTTAAGGCATCTTTAAAAGTAATATACCAGGCATTTGTAGTAGGCAATAGGAAGATATGTTATGGCTGAAAATTCTGGGAAACATACCCTGTTTCAATAGATTGATATTGGTGATATTCTGACAAAATCGATATTCTCTACCTGGAGATCCTGTGAAACATACATTCAGACTTTAGGGATGTCCACATACCAGATAGTGCAAAACTTTAGGCAACAAAAATGCTAAGGTTAACTAAATGTCTGTCTTCATTACTGAAAGGGTCAGTAATGTTTTAAAAGTTAAAGGTAAAAGTTTGCAAAAGGCAGAATTGTGGAAATTGTGTTGCTTGCATGACCTTTGCTCAGCCTTCTGTTGAGTATGGATAAGGATTATCTGGATTACCCGCAATGCAATGGATAACCCAGCAGATGCTGGACAAGATACCAGACCAGTCCTACCGCAAAGTGGACAATGGGCCAGACAGAGTACATCAGTAGGAACTGCCGGAAGCTAGAAGTAGGGTATATAACTGATACCCCAACCCTGATTCGAGGCTGAACCCTTTTCGGCTCAGCTGCCTGCAACCAGGCTCAAGCAATAAAGCCATTTTGCTCCACATTGGCCTTGTGTTGTGGATGTGATCTCCCACCGGCTCAGACCTTTTAATTACCAGTGTATTTGCATCAGAGGTATACAAACTGTGTGGACAAAAAAGGGGCCACAAACCTGACAAGCTCAGGGGAGGCCTGAGTGGCGGCCTTACAAACTCAGAGACACTAAGGTAACCACACAGAATGGTCTGAAATTACAATTCTCTAAATAAAAGCAAGTCAGGGCAGGTGGTAAAGTCCTAGGCTGGTATCTTTCTTGACAAAGGTCAGTCTTTACCTTAACTGAGCCTGTCTATTGTCTTTTTGCATCTATGATAACATGCCTGTGGAATGTCAGAGAAATCTCCCTTTTTCAGACCCCTCAGGGCACAATCTCTCACCAGAGCCCCTCATTCTTATCATGTTCTCTGCATACTATCTTTATGTGCTATAAATACTGTCAACTATCCTGTACCCACCAATGTACAAGAAATGTGTTTCTATCCATTTTATTTTTTATCCAGTCCCAGATATTTCCCCCTTTGCTTTCTGCAGCCAAACTGATCTTCCACCAATGGATTTCATGAAACTCCCTCAGGTCTTCTACTTTGATTCTAATGAATAAACTAAGGTGCAAAACTGCCATTCTCTGAAGTATTTTCTCAATGTGTTGAGATTTTGCTTCCCATCAATTGTCATCAGTTTGGCTCAAATAAACTCATAAAAATTCTTCCAGGTTTGCAGGTTTCTTACATCAAGTGAGAGACTGGAAAGGGCTCCCTTATATATGGGCACCTTTGCTCTTGGTATTCCCTCTTTGGAAGATTTTCCTCCACATTTTCCTCAGGCTTCTCTCCTGTAGCAGGGAGAATAATGCCCTCCTTCAGCCACATATGTCCATGTCCTAACACCTAGGACCTGTGAACATGTTAGTTTTCATGGGAAGGGGAAACAAAGTTTGAGATAGAGTTAAGGCTGCTAAACAGCTGACTTTGAGATGGAGAGTGGATTCTGAATTATCCAGGTAGGCCCAATGTAATCACAAGGCTCCTTAGAAGTGGAAGAGGGAGGCAGGAGATAAAGAGCTGGAGAGAGCCAGTGTGAGAAGACTCTGCCTGACATTGTTGACTTTGACGATGGAGGAATGGAGAAGACCCAAGTCAAGGAATGCGGGCAGCCTGTAGAAGCTGGGAAAGATAAGAAAGCTAATGCTCCCTTAGAGGCTCCAGCAGGAATGCAGCCATACCAACACCTAGGTTTTAGTCCAGGAAGACCCACTTTGGGCTTCTGAGCTCAAGAAACATACGACAATAAATTTGTGTTGTTTAAAGCCACTATTCATGGTAATTTGTTATAGCAGCAGTATATACACTTCCTTATATTTTTTTACCTACTGGTTTTAGATTGAGAGAGAGAGACTTTGATTTGTTTTTCCACTTATTTATGAATTTATCGGTTGATTCTTGTGTATGTCCTGACAGGGGATCAAACCTGAAAACTTGACGTATTGGGATGATGCTCTAATCAACTGGGCTACCCAGTCAGGGCCCACTTCCTTATTTGATCCAAGCTCAAATGTCATCTTCTATAAGAGACCTTTTTCCTCCCTAATGAAATACGTTTATTTAAAGCTTACATTGAGACCATTAGTTGCTTAACACAGAACAAGATAGCTTCAGGAATACCAAACCAGCTATTTTACAATGTAATGTCTCAAAGTGTCACATCTCCTCTGATTTACAGGAGATCATCAAGATTACACTTTCAGGACAGTAGGGACTTGGATACTGCTGTATCATAACTCACTGTAAATCAACTTGAACTACGTATTCATGTTACAAATAACTCAATGAGCCCTAGCACAGGAATCCTAAGATTTCAAACATCTAGCAAGCACTACTTTTCATGAGTACATTAGGCAGGAGGATTAAGTTAATAAATGCTCTATTGTATGTGCTTTACTGTTGCAGTAATGGTCATACAGAGCAAGACAAAAGCTCTACAAAGGTAAGCAACAAAGAGCAGTTATTTGGCTATCTAAATTCCTTGAAGCAAAATGGCTGCTATAGTATGCTATTGTTATTATATTACATCATTCAACTATGAGTTCTTTTGTTTCCAATGACCAGAACGTTATACTGTTTGCATTATAACAAAAACAAAAATGGACTATTCTCAAGAAATTAACAAACTGGAGTGATGAATTGTGCCAAAATGTTTGACAGTTAAAAAAGGAGACTGAGCCCGGCCGGTGTGGTTCAGTGGCTGAGCTACGACACATGCACCAGGAGGTTGCCAGTTCTATTCCCAGTCAGGGCACATGCCCAGGTTGTGGGCCAAATCCCCAGTGGGGGGCATGCAGGAGGAGGCCAATTGGTGTTCTCTCTCATTGATGTTTCTATCTCCCTCTCCCTTCCTCTCTCTCTCAAATCAATAAAGAAAAAAATATTTTTTTAAAAAGAGACTTGTTTCTCAAATATTCTACAGTTAAACAGCAACTTATAAGCACCCTATTTTTCTAGTGTAGGCAGATGAACATGCTTCACAATTCTATGAGACATTGTTTTGAAATCTCTTACCTGCTAAATTATCTTTCCATGCTCAGGCATTCTGTATTAACACACTTTTATTTTCATTTGCTTATGATTATTTAAAATTATTTATGTATTTTTTTTTTGTTTTTGTTTTTTGTTTTTTTTATCCTCACCCGAGGACATTTTTCCAATTTTTGTACAGATAGAGTGGGAGGGAGAGAGAGGTGGGGAGAGAGGGAGAGAGAGAGAGAAACATCGACGTGAAAGGGACACATCGAGTGGCTGCCACCCGCACGACCAACCAGGGCCGGGGACAAACTGCAACTGAGGTACGTGCCCTTAGCGGGAACCGAACCCGGGTCTCTCCGGACCGCAGGCCAACGCTCTAACCGCTGAGCCAAACCGGCCAGGGCAAAATTATTTATCTATTTATTCCTCTTCCCTCTCACAAGAATGTAAATTCTAGGAGGGCAGGGACTTTGTTGTTCTTTTCACCTGTGTGTCTCCATTGCTTAGGTTACCACTACACAGCAGGCATTCAATAAAAACTTGTATGAACAAGCCTTAGGGAGAGGGAGAGAGAGAAACATCAATGTAAGAGAGATACATGGATCAGTCGCCTCCTACACGTGACAGGGGAGCGAACCCGCAACCTGGGTATGTGCCCTCACTGGCAATCGAACTCGCGACCTTTCCATGCGCCAGATGAGGCTCCAGCCAACTGAGCCACACGGGCCAGGACACAAGCATAACATTCTTGCCACTGCTGACTCACAATTAGGGGCAGCTATTAGAAGAGGCCCATGCGCGGTAGGTCCTGTGTTGCGAGGAACTGACCAATGGAAAACAGGAATAGATAATGAAATAGCAAATAGGCTATCAGTTGCTTAATTTTAGGTAGTGGAGGCAGGAAGCTTGAATAGTACGTACCACCCCAGGGCAAATCCAGACCAGGGAGTCCTCGGTGATTGCCGAGAAGTAACCAGTTTCAGAAGACCAGGAAGGGGTGAAAAGATAATGTAATCAACTCAGATTGCCTAAATATTGTATAATCAGTTATCAAGGGATCACACACAAAAATGTCTGGAGATATGAGGAAAGAACAGGTGAGTAGTAAGATTTTACATGAATATATATAAATATATATATATATATTCTCTAACGGAAATTCAGCTAAAGACCGCAATGTTGATAAACGCTCTTGTTCTTCTGGTTTTAAATTCGCAGGTCTAGTTCCTAAAAAGACCCTCAGGGCTGGAAGCAAGGGGGCGGGACCTGCCTAGCCCAGGGAGGGCGGTGGTGCCCAATGGTTCTCTGCGTCGCCATGTCAGCACCTTGGAAAGTCCTCCAGGCTTGGTGCACCGCCAGGCCGGTGCTCGCCCAAAGCCAAAGGGCCCTCACTGGGCTAGGCAGCCACCTCCACACAGCAAACTTCGGGCCGCGAAAGGCAGAGGTGACTGACCCGCGGGGCCGAGAGCCCCACACTGACAGCCAATGGCCCTGAGCCTGGGGCGGGACCACAGCGTGTCGGCTAATGGGGCGCGGCGGGGCAGGGGGCAGGGGCCAGGCGGTCCGGCAGCGGCGGGGTTCGCAGGCGCTGGCCCCGGCCATGTGGGACCCGCGCGGAGCTGGGGCGTGCGCGGCGGCGCTCGGCGGCGCGCTCCTCCTGCTGCTCCTCGCGCTCGGGGTCCGCCAGCTGCTGAAGCAGAGGCGGCCGACGGGCTTCCCCCCGGGTCCGTCGGGGCTGCCATTTATCGGCAACATCTACTCGCTGGCAGCCTCGGCCGAGCTCCCCCATGTCTACATGAGAAAGCAGAGCCAGGTGTATGGCGAGGTACAGCCCGACGGGCCGCGGGCAGGGAGGGCCCGGGCCTTCCTCCGAGGGGGGCTGACGGCCTCTGCTGGCGTACTTGCGGCTGGAGGGAAACCTACTTCCTGGGTCGGGATCAGTCCTCGAAGCCTCGCCCCACCGGGGCAGCTCCGCCCAGGCGTGACCCCGCCCCGCCCCGCGGGATTGGCCGCCCCCTGAGCCGTCGGGCTGCGCCCCTGCACCTGCGCGGTGGGCCTACAGGCTCTGCCCTAGTTGGAAGGAGTTTGGGCCCAGGTTTCAGTCCCCAGTCACCCAGGAAAGTAGGCGTCCGGATTCTGGGGACGAGTTCATAGGCAATAGGAGGTTCCTGGATGCTTGCATTAAGGACAGCTGTGCTGGGCCGTGTGCTGTGAGATCAGCAAGCTCTCGGAGGGCCCTGGCCCAGAGCTGGGCTCTGCTCACTGACAGTGAAAGAACGAATGACTGAAAGTCGGTGCGCAGTCCGCCGGCGCAGGGTGAGCCAGGTCGCGCTGACGGGCCAGGAGCACCCTCACAGCAGAGCCCGCCTCCTTCCAGTGTGGACTCCTTTAAACCCAGAGAGGCCCGGGGGCGGGCTCCTCTGCTCCTCCCTGTCACCCGGGGGAAACTGCATCCAGAGGTGCCCAGTGACTTGCAGCCACACCGCTGCCAGTAGGCAGGGCAAAGGGCCAGAACCACGCCTGTGTTGGCAGGGTGCCTGCCCTCAGAAGGCGGCAGAAGTTTCGGAGCACTGGCACGGACCGAGCTCACCTGTGTTGTTTTGAGTCCATGCATTTATGTGCAACGATGAACCAGACTCTTGCCAGGTGCTAGGGATGGAGAGAAGGAGGCAAACACGGCGCATTTCAGGGAGTTTCAATCTAGCGAGGGAGAAAATCAGTCTAATTGTCCACCTCAAAATGTGATGAGTGCTTTGAAGGAACAGTACCGCAGGGCTGTTTGGCAACTGTGTTTCAGGTTGGGGCTAAATCCTTATTTGAACCAGGTTTTACAAGAATTATTCTAGGTTTCTGCAGCTCACTAATGGTTTTATGTTGCCAAGGGGAAGCTGGCCTCAGGAAAAGCAAACATACAAGTCTTAGATTTTATTTTACACCCTCCAGTTCTCCAAGAATTGAGTGTATTTTCATTTAATGTATTTGATCTCTGCTGTGTTGGTACAAAATATCATCATATTCTAGAGAAATTATTAGATGTGAGAGCATGATACTAGAGATTGAGTCTTCTTTCATTAGATAAAATTTTACCTTCTTTGAATTTTAATTTTTCCTCGTATATAATTTGAATAATAGCTGAGAATAGTTTTATTCAGATGATCTTGGTTATTAATTACGGAACAATTAGGCCTACAAATTCAAAATCTCTAATTTTTTAAAGATTTTTAGAAATTGATTTTTAATGAGAGAAGAAGGGAAAAGGAGCAAGAGACACATCCATGTGAGAGAGAAGCATGGATTGGCTGCCTCTTACAGACCCTCACTGGGGACCAAACCTGTAACCTGGGCATGTGCCCTGTCCAGGAATTGAACTGGCAACCTTTTGGTGCACTGGGAGGATGGCCACCCAACTGAGCCACATAGGCCAGGGCTCAAATGTATTTTTAAACCAATTTTGTGAAATGGTGTCTTGCAGAATAGGAATATGTTTTTTATATATAAAGATTTGAACTGAAGGAATGCTGTATTTACAATGAACATTTTTTTTTTTTTTTTTGGAAGGTGGTTATCTAAGTCTCCTGTCATAATAAATTACAAATTAAATTAGAAAAATGCCAGAAAATTTATCTTGGGATGGGTAGATTTGGTTAAATGGATTTAAGAATTTGGCATGAGTAAACAGTTTTATTGCTGGTACAGCTATTTGAGGCCACCATGGTTCTTTACAAAGAGGGCACTTTACTAGAGGTGGTAAAATTATTTTAATAGGCAAGAGGAGTAGAGGAAAGAAAGGAAGAAAAGTGAAAAAGATGAATGCACTGAAGAGTAGACACTGTTTGCCTGACTCTGCCTTAGACTTAAGTTAAATACCACCTAACATTAACTCTTTAAACTACAGCAGCATTTGATCTTTATCTTAGTTGTGAAATACCCCTAAAGGTCTCCCGTTAACTTAGAGGTGTTTCCCAATTCTAATAAAGCCTCAAAGTTAGTGTAAGTTGTTAATATACTATACAGGTATAATATTCTATACCTTTTTTGGATGTGGGAGGACACCATTATCTCCTGTACTTCTGGGAGATTGTAGAAAGTTGTTTATAGGGCTTATTTGTAAATGGAATCTTATTTTTGCACTCTCTTAGCTTGTAATTGGGAGATGTGTGCTTGCAGAAAAAAACCCCGCCTTGAAAATTGCTTATGAGAACTGACAGTCACTTCGAGTGACATCTACTTTTATGAAATCTGTGAATTCAGTTCTCCTTTATAATTCTTGAAAGGAAAACAACCAGCCCTCTGGGTTTACACATTCATTTTAAAGGCAATCTTAAACAGAAATGTAATACATCAAGAATTACCATTTCCTTGGAGATTCACTCTGAATGTATAAGTTTCTGCAGTTCCTTTCATCTTAATTCAAATTTTGAAAAGCATTCCCTAGCTACTAAGGTGGTAAACAAGTGGTTATTACAGATTATTTTCAGGTAATACACGTAGGACAATAAAATTACTTTAAGGCAAGTGGAGTTGACAACTTATTCATTTATTTATGTAATAATCATTTATTGAGACCTTTATGCAAGGCACTGAACAAGATTCTATGGAATGTCCAAAGATGAAAGACAAAATCGTTTATTCTAAATAGTTAATAATTTAACAGGCAAACAGAATATAAGAATATGAATATTTCTGGTTCAAGGTGGTATTAAATATGTGCAATGGGAGCTCTAAGGACATGCTGTGTGGTAGCTCAGAGAGAGTGCACCAAGAGGGGCTTCCTGGAGGATGGTCCCTAAAGCCCCGGTATGGTCTGGACAGTATGGCCATCAGAGGAGGCATTCCACATGAGAAAACAGCCCAAGCAAAGGTTTAAAAGGGTGTGGCAATTATTTATCCGTTTTCATCAACAGAACTTTTTACATTCCCCTGTTATTAGTACTTGACCCATGGTGTTGTAATAATCTGCGTAACTCTATGCCTCCACCACTAGTCACTAATTCAACTTATATTTATCATTTGTCATCATATGCTATGTACTGTCCTAGGTTTGAAGATATAGCAGTGTACAGTTCAGAGATAAAAAATCCCTGCCTTGTATAGCTTACATTCTTGCCAGGTGGGGAGGGGGGGCGGTGGTAAGATGGACAGTGTAAACATAATAAGTAAATGATATAATGTGAGAGTACAGAAAATGAGGTAAACGAAATGAGAATAAAATGAGAATAAGGGGGATGGAGAGTGCTAAGGAGTGAAATTTTCAAGGGCTAGTCAGAACAGGCCTCACTGCAGAGAAGGCATCAGAGCAAAGATTTATAGGAAATGAATGAGCAAGCTGTAGCAATATTTAGGGGAAGAACATTCCAGGCCAAGACACAAGTACAGAGGTCATGAAGCTGGAGTATGCCATGTTGGGAATCACCTATAAAGGGACAGACTACGGAGCTGTTATGATAGCATAGGGGGAAATGAAGGTGGCTTAGGTTCTCGACCTGTGGGTTGCAACCCCTGTGGGGGTCAAACGACCCTTTCACAGGGGTCGCCTAAGACATAACAGTAGCAAAATGACAGTTATGAAGTAGCAACGAAAATAATTTTATGGTTGGGGTCACCACAACATGAGGAACTGTATTAAAGGGACGCAGCATTAGGAAGGTTGAGAACCACTGAATTAGAGTATCCGAAGTGGGAAGACATTGTCATATTCCATTTATGTTCTGAAAATGGGAAAAACATGACTACTGAGCAGTGATATGGGTTTAGGGAGAAAATGACGCCAACATGGGCAGCTCATGGGTAGTTTTGGGCCTGAGTAGCTTGAAGGATAAATGAAGTGGTCATTAGCTGAGATAGTGAAAAATTGTGGGTAGAGCTGATTTGAGGGAGAATAAGAGACTTGAAGATCACAGACTGTCTTTTAGAAGTCAAGAAAAGTAGTTCATGTGTTCCTGTTTTCCATCTCTGCCAGCATCATAACTAGCTCACAATAATATTAAAAATTATTGAATAAATCAGAGAAGATAAAACTTAATCTTGGATCATTTCATAGATCAAAGCAGCTTAAAGATCCTTTCACGATTTTATACACAAACATTTACCAAAAGTCCTCGAAAACAATGTCATGCAGTCTAGATGCTAGTTCTAGTAACACTTTCCCATTTTACCCTCAATTAGAGGGAGTTCTTTTGTTGTTGTTAATCCTCACTCGAGGCTGTTTTTTTCTATTGATTTTTTAGATAGAGTGGAAGAGAGGGAAGGAGAGAAACATTGATGTGAGAGAGACACATAGATTGGTTACCTCCCACATGATTCTGATAAGGGAGAGGGATCAAACCTTCAGCCCTTGACCGGGAATCGAACCTGCTACCCTTCGGTCTGAGGGCTGAGGCTGACACTCTAACCCCTGAGTCAAAACTGCCGGGGCTGTATAACAACTTCTTCAGGCATTGGCTCCTCCTTGGTTTTTGTAATGCCTCGAGTCCACTGCCTGACAGCTTTATCTCAAAATATGACGCCCCTGTTTGTTCTGCCTTCATAATAACAACAGTTTTCAATCCCAGGGTCTTGATCATTCTTGTGAAATCATCAGTCTATTTTTTTTTCCTGCATTTGGAACATTGCCTATTCACTAATGCCCTCCTTTATTATCTCTGCTGTGCTACTGTGATTTATAATAAGGAATATATGTTTTGGTTTTTGTCCATTTTCTGGCATATTGCTCCTAAAACCCTTGGGATTTCCTAAGTGTTAAGAGTAATAAAGGTGTCTTGTTTTTCACAACATACTTGAATTTATGTTAATGAGGTAATTTTTGGAAAGCTCAAAGAATCGGAGCTTGTTTTTAGGAGGACCAATTAGGTTTAGAGGATTGAAACTTTCAATCCTGTCCCCTTCCCTTACCCCTGAGGAGGGGAGAGGGGCTGGAAATGGAATCAGTGACCAATGGCCAGTGATTTAATTGATCACTTCTAGATAATAAATCCTCCATAAACACCCCTGGATTATAGCGTTTGCAGAGTTTCCTTGTTGGTGAACACATGGAGTGAGCAGAGGGCAGCTGGCCTGGACAGAGTGTGGACGCTTTCCCTGTGCCTTGCCCTATGCATCTCTTCCACATGACTGTCCCTGTGTTATATCCTTTTATAAAGCAGTCATCTAGTAAGTAAAATATATTCCTGAGTTCTGTGAAGCCCTCTAGCGAATTAAGTGAACCTGAGGAAGAGGTCATGCAAACCTCTGATATATAGCCTGTTGGTCAGAAACACAGGTAACAACCTGGACTTGTGATTGGCATCTGAAATGGGGAGAATTCTTGTGGCACTGAGCTCTTAACGTGGAATCTGACCCTGTCTCCGGGTAGATCGTGTCAGAACTGAGTTAAATTGTAGGACACCCAGCTATTGTCCCAGAATTGCTTGATGTGTGGAAAACCCATATAATGGTGTCAGAAGCATAGTAAAGGAGACGCACAGGAGGAGGCATTTTCCCTTTATATCTGCTAAAATTACACTTCTGGGTAAAGACTTCTTTTTCAGACCGATTCATCACTGCTTTGGGAACTGAAAAAGGCCTGCCTTTGCTCAGCTGAAACTCTTAGACTGCCGCTTTTGACTAATATCACTCCCTGTGGCAGGCAGCCCATGCCCCTTCCCCAAGGTTCCAGATGTACCTGCTACTCAGTCGGCAGGGCCTATTCTTGTGCCAAAGACTCCATAGCTCAGCTGGTTGATTCCATTACTACTTGGAGGTTTTCATTACTACTGCTGCTGTAACTGATTCTGCCAAACTTCTATTCTCGGCCAAGACTCTTTTTGTTATTTCCCATAGTAGTGTGCACCATGGCTAAATCTGCCCTGTCTGTTTGCAGAGATAATGCTTGACTCAGTATTTTGGCCTTAAAAAGCTCTCAGGCAACTCCTGAGAGGATGGGGATAAGCATTCTCTGCATCCCACTTATACGGTAGCACTGCTCTCTCACTGGACTAGTCCCTTACGGGCCTAGCTAGAATAGACTGGGAGAGGTGTGGCATTGTAAGTGAACCTGAGGTAAGCACATGAGAAGTTCCAGCAGAGCATAGCATGGATATTCTGTCTTGTCTTCTCTTTAGCTGAGGGATAGCCACCTGTGCCTATGTGGGGAATGGTTTTTTTTGTTTGTTTGTTTTTTGGTACATGCCCCTAGCGGGAACCGAACCTGGGACTCTCTGGTCCACAGGCCAACACTCCAACTGCTGAGACAAACCAGCCAGGGCTGTGGTGAATGCTTTTAAAAGGAGACAGCCAGGCCAAAATGGAGTCACTTGTGCTAAACCCCATGTCTGCAAACCAGGACTTAATACCTAAGTTAACTGCAGTTTCAACCTCCCCCAGGAATGTAGTCAATTTGAAATTACCTGTTCAGCACTCGTTAGGTAATGTGCTGGATAGACTTCTTCATTCCAGGAGAGTGACCTTGCCTGAAGCAGTACATTCTTTGCTAATAATTTTCTTTTTTCACCTCCTCTCTTCCTTTAAAAACCTCTCCTTTTCTACAGCTCTTTGGAGCACCTTTCTGCTTGCTAGATGGATACTGTCCAATCATGAATCATTCAATAAAGCCAATTAGATCTTCAGATTTACTCATTTGAATTTTTATTATTTTAACATGCCTTTCTTCCAAGGTCATATTCCCTTAGGGCCCTCTTTATTAACTTCATGGAATTCAGGGACCCAAATACAAATGGGCCTAGTTGTATGTTTATACTTCAAAGTTGTCTCTCATGCCTTTGACAGTCCCCTTTCCTACCTAAGTCTGGAGTAACAAATGATACGTAGATGGTGCTGCATCTCCATTCGTCTTGGAAATAAAAGGAAATTCCTAGATATCACTGGATTTTGAGTTGGAACGAGTCTTAAAAGAGTATCTAAATCAAGTGCCACGTTTTCTATGGCAACCCTGATGCCCAAAAAGGTTAAGGGTTCTGCACAGAGTCCTATACCTGTTTAATGGCAAAGCTTAAACTAGAACCCAGGCCTTCTGAGTCTGGTACTTATTCCATTATGCCATTTGAAGGATCGTGTTCTTCAGGCATTGAATACCTAATGAAATCCGAGTGTTTGATGTGCCTTGTGGAGAAGGCACTCTACACATTGTCAGGTGAGTAATAAGTGCCTACATTTTCAGGGAAGTGACAAATCTGGGAGAGCTGGCTTAGTGCATGTTAATTCCATGGTCATATTTCTCCATACATTTTGCCATTTAAATGTTGGTTTTCTTTTCTTCTCAAAGATCTTCAGTTTGGATCTTGGGGGTATATCTACTGTGGTTCTAAATGGCTATGATGTTATAAAGGAATGCCTTGTTCATCAAAGTGAAGTTTTTGCAGACCGACCATGCCTTCCTTTATTCATGAAGATGACAAAAATGGGAGGTATGTTTATTTTCACCTATTCAGTGACTGACTGAACTATTTTATTTTATTTTATTTTATTTTATTTTATTTTATTTTATTTTGTGGTACATGCCCCTAGCAGGAACTGAACCGGGGACTCTCTGGTCCGCAGGCCGACGCTCATCCGCTGAGCCAAACTGGCCAGGGCTTGACTAAACTATTTTAAATGACATTTCTTACTATGTAAATTTAGCACATAGAGTTTATAATATTCTATTTTACTGATTAACAGGAAAGTATTACTTAATCAATTTAGGCTACAGACCCTAGTATGTGAGGACTTTCAGGCTGCATTCCAGTCATACAGGGGTGGGCAAACGTAGGTTTACAGTTGTGAGTACATGAACCACAGTTTATTCTTGTATGATTATTTATTAAATAGTGTATTATTTTTCATACCAACAACTATAAACCTACTTTTGCCCAACCCTGTATTTTAGACCAGTGCATGCTAATTCTACTATTGTAATCCAGTTCTAATAAATGCTATAAATAATGTTTTAATATATGCAAGTTTTGTGAAACAAGTTAGGAATACACACACGTGTGAGAACACTGGAATCAAAAGTGCCTTTTGTGGCCAGTCTTGGGTACTTGGTGACATTTTTACTCTCGTTTTGCTTATAAGATTATAGAACCTGAAGCAGCCTTTCTTAACTACTAATCAATATGATATGTAAAGGGAAAATTGTGGTATTTGTGTAAAGGACTAGGATTTTATATGGTTTAGTATTGATCCGTGTTGGATGATTTCATATTTAACAAGGGAGAAAGGCTAAAAGTTGACAGATCTGTTGAGGAGAAAGCAGCAACGGAGTTTAAAATAGATTGCTGAAGTCAGAGTTCGGTTCGGTTCGGTTCCCGCTAAGGGCACGTACCTCGGTTGGTTTGTCCCCGCCCCAGTTGGGGTTGTGTGTGATGGCTTTGATGCTTAATACTGTAACAGTTTTAACAATAATCGTGTCCAAAAGTCTCCAGTTTAATGAGAGCTTCACACTTAACTTAATGTAATTATTTATTTTTTTTATTAGTTCTTACCTGAGGATATTTTTTCCATTGATTTTTAGAGAGAGTAGAAGGGAGGTAGGGTAGGGGACAGAGAGAGAAACATTGATGTGAGAGAGACATATAGATTGGTTGCCTCCTGCACATGCCTCAACCAGAGCTAGGGATCAAACCTACAACCCAGATACATGCCCTTGACCAGGAATCGAACGCTTGGCCCTTCAGTGCATGGGCCGATGCTCTAATCACTGAGCCACGCCAGCCAGGCCTCACACTTAATTTTAAAAAACTTTATAATACCTTCCTTAGATAGACTAAAAATACTTTGATTGAAAAGAAAAATTAACCATATATTACATCCCAAAGCAAATCAACTAATGCAAGAAAAAACATTCATTTTTTTAAAGGCCAAATTCTTAGGCCAGAGTATAATGATACTTGAAAGCAATAATATAAATAAAATCATATTTCCAGCCTCTGAAATAGTCTTCTAAATAATAATGAGGCAAGCCCTGGCCAGGTAGCTCAGTTAGTTAGAGCATTGTCCCAATAAACCAAGGTTTGATTTTCAGTAAGGACATATACAAGAAGAAAGCAATGAATGCATAAATAAGTGGAACAACCAATTGATGTTTCTCATTCTCACTCTCTCTCTCTCTCTCTCTCTCTCTCTCTCTCTCTCTCTCTGAAATCAATCAATAAATAAAAAATTTAAATAGCCCTGGCCAGTTTGGCTCAGCAGTTGGAGCGTCGGCCTGCAGACCAGAGAGTCCCGGGTTCGGTTCTTGCTAAGGGCACGTACCTCAGTTGCAGTTTGTTCCCACCCTGCAAACTGGGGTTGGGGTTGTGTGGGTGACAGCCAGTCGCTGTGTCTCTCTCCATTCCTTCCTTTCTCCCTCCCGCTCTATCTGAGGATAAATGCAAAAATGTCCTCGGGTGAGGATAAAAAAATAAATAAATAAAATAGGCAGAAGAAGAAATTATACCACAATTATAATAGAAGAACTTTAAAGAAATTATGAAAATGGAAGATGGTATGATCAGAATAATATTTGGGGTAAAATATATATTTTTCAAAGCTATAAATTTATAGTGTGGAATATTAATATTATAAAGAAAAATAAAATAAGCATTCAACTTTCAAAAAAACTGTAAAAGAAAAATAGGTAGAAAACTATATGTGTTAATTTAAGATAGGTATGCATTGAACTTGGAACTGAGAAATCAGAGCCACCATTAGCCCACTGTTTGGGAAAACACTGCCCAAGCATATAACTTGGCCAGTGTAGGATTATAACAAGCTCTTCTGTACCTTCTTGTACATGTGACCCATCTGTATATATACATTTCCCTAGGCCTTGCTCTCATCCCAGTCAGTGCCTTTGCATTAGGTTAGCTGTTCCTCTGCCAGCAGTGATCTTTCCCCAGATTATCTGCTTGACTTACTCTGTCACCTCCCATGTCTTTACTTATGTCACCTTCTCAGGGAGGCTTTCCCTGGCCATCCTATACAAATTATACAGCTTCCTTGCTATGTAATTTACTTGTTCATTTGCCTCTCCTCACTAGTATGTCAGGTCCACGAGGGTAGGGATCTTTTGCCTCTCGTGTTCAGTGACACATCTGTGACACTTCAAACACTGCCGGAAGCAGAGCAGGTACTTCATAAGTACATGTTGAATACGTGTGTGTTGAATGAATAGTCATCTGGGAGTATGGAAGAAAACAAAATATAGGAATATAAGATTGCTGCACGGCACTAAAGGTTCCCTTGTGGATGGCTAATTATCATAAGCTCCAAGTTAAAAAATTGTTGCACAAAAGTGAATGGAATGTAGATTACATAGGTACGTTATGTAGACATGACATTTTTCATCATAGGGTCACCTATGTACCAGTTCTGAATAAAATTTTGAGTAAAGTACATGTTACATAAATATACGCGCTAAAGATGAGTTTTTTTTTTGATAGTTAATTTAAAGGGAAAATATTCCATAGCAACCACATCAGAACAGCAGAGTATACTATGGAGACTCTGAAATTTTAAGGCAATAAATATCAACATTAGAAGTTTGAGTTTCATGTCTTAGTTTGGGCTGCTATAAAACAAAAATATCATAGACAGAGTGGCTTAAACAACATCTAGCCATAGCCAGTGACTCAGTTGGCTGGAGCATCATCCCATACACCAAAAGGTGGCAGGTTCAATTCCCGGTCAGGGCACATACCTGGGTGGCAGGTTCAGTCCCAGGTCAGGGCACTAATAGGAGGCAACCGTTCAGTCTTTCTTTCTTTCTTTCTTTCTTTCTTTCTTTCTTTCTTTCTTTCTTTCTTTCTTTCTTTCTTTCTTTCTTTCTCTCTCTCTCTCTCTCTCATTATTCTCTCTCTAAAATCAATAAAGACATCCTTGGGTGAGGATTTTTTAAAAACTAGACATTTATTCTCATAGAGTTGGAGACTGAGAAGTCAAAATCAAGGCGCCAGCCAACCTGATGTCTGGAAAGAGCCTGCTTCCTGGCTTGTAGACAGCTGCCTTCTTCCTGTCTTCTCACGTGGCCGAGAGCGGTCACCTTTTATCGTGACCTTCTTACAAGGGCACCCATCCCAGTCAGGAGGGTCCTACCCTCAGGACCTAATTACCTCCACCTTCTAAAGGCCCCACCTTCCAATAGCATTACATTGTGGGGGGAGGCTTCAGCATATGCATTTTGTGGGGACACAGACGTTCAGCCATAGTACTCTCTTTGGCTTGAGTATTTTCACTACATCGACAACTCATTCAGGTTCACCTTTGCCTCTGCCAGAGTTATCTTAGGTAACATACGCCTTTGACAGGAGGAAACCTGTATTCTGAAACCTAGTCCATTAAAGCAGAAAATTTCTAATTCTAGAAATATGCTTTTCAGGTGTTTGTTTAGTCCAAAATACAATTTTGCCCACAGAACATGCAGTCATTTGTCTTTTGAAAACTAGGCTTATAGTAAAAGATGGGTAATAAAGCCCTCTGGGCCTAGTTCAGCCAGGCTGAATTACACAAGACTGTCCAGTTTTTTGTGATGGAAGAGTTATAGGTCTTTTCTGCCCGTCCCCAGATGATTAGTAGACAAGCTTTATATGTTTATAATATTCTGTGGCTAATGAGTAGCATAAAACAGGGCTTATCCACTGGGCCTGGTTATAGTTTTATAGAAAAATAATTTGGAGAAGAATGACTAAACATCTTTTTTTTCCCCCTCGATAGCCTTTTTAGCTGTTAACTGCAGGGATGTGGAAATGATAACATTTCTTACCTTTTTTTTTTCAGGCTTACTCAATTCCAAGTATGGCCGCGGATGGGTTGATCATAGGAGGTTAGCCGTAAACAGCTTTCGCTATTTTGGATATGGCCAAAAGTCTTTTGAATCCAAAATTTTAGAAGAAACCAAATTTTTCATTGACGCGATTGAAACATACAAAGGTAGACCTTTTGACTTTAAACAATTAATAACAAATGCTGTTTCAAACATAACCAACCTGATCATTTTTGGAGAACGATTCACTTATGAAGACACTGATTTCCAGCACATGATTGAGTTGTTCAGTGAAAACGTGGAGCTGGCCGCCAGTGCCTCCGTCTTCCTGTATAACGCCTTCCCGTGGATCGGCCTCTTGCCCGTCGGGAAACACCAGCAGCTGTTCAGAAATGCCGCCGTGGTCTATGATTTCCTCTCCGGGCTCATTGAAAAAGCTGCTCTTAACAGAAAGCCTCAGTCACCTCAGCATTTTGTTGACGCTTACTTAGACGAGATAGATCACGGTAAAAATGACCCAACATCTACTTTCTCCAAAGAAAACCTCATTTTCTCCGTGGGTGAACTCATCATTGCTGGAACCGAAACTACAACCAATGTGCTACGGTGGGCCATGCTTTTCATGGCCCTTTATCCTAACATTCAAGGTGAGGAGTCTCCTGATCTCAAGGTCTGCACTTACGTTTAGGACTCACACGTTTTCGAGTCTTCAGCCACGTACGAAGCATTTTATTTAGGAATTCCTGCTGTTAACCAAGAAAAAAAAAAATTTAATAGTTATAGTTTTCAAATCCATGATCTCAATTCTTGTAAAAACCTCAGAGATAGGTTTTATTATGCTTATTTATAAATGAGGGAAAAGGCTGCGTGGCCGATGTGCCTGCCCAAGCTCATTCACTGTAAGTGGCAGAGCTGAGACCCGAACCCTGGTTGTTTTCTTTCAAGTTTTATTGCTTTACTGTTTTCCTTGCAGAGAGTGAGATGTTGTTCCAATGTTGTTCCAATTCTAGGTTTGTTTGATTGTTATTACTCTTAATGTGTTTTTTCACAACAAAGTTACTCACAGCATTGGTTACTGGTAATACAAGTAACATATATATATATATTTAAATAGAACTCCCAGATAATGAAAAATCTGAATCTGAGTGTACCTAGATCCTGTTGACTTGTTATCATACATTGCCTCTTATTTTATCCCAAAGGGAAATTACTTTAGATGTACGTTTTAAGCATTGCATAATAACTTGAACACTTTTTTCTCTGACAGGACAAGTTCAAAAAGAGATTGATTTAGTTATAGGACCCAGTGGGAGGCCTTCTTGGGACCACAAATACAAAATGCCTTATACTGAGGCAGTTTTGCATGAAGTTTTAAGATTCTGTAATGTAGTGCCTTTAGGGATTTTCCATGCCACCTCTGAAGATGCAGTTGTACGTGGTTATTCCATTCCTAAAGGCACAACAGTAATTACAAATCTTTATTCTGTACACTTTGATGAAAAGTACTGGAAAGACCCAGAAATATTCTATCCTGAGCGATTTCTGGACAGCAGTGGATGTTTCTCCAAGAAGGAAGCTCTGGTTCCATTTTCTCTAGGTAAGCGAACTTTAGGACAAAGTGTAATGATGGTTCATCAGTATAACATCTTAATCTGAAGCATTGTGTTGCAGAATTATATATTCCAGCTCTGAAAATGGCATTGATTCTTATAGGAGAGAATAGTGTAATTAGAGGTCCTCAACACCTGTTTCTACTCAAAATAAACAAGCCTTAATTTTATATCTGGAGAGAAATTGTTAAGAACTCTTGCTTCTTCTGAAACTTTTTTGTGTGTGGATTTTTGGCTTGTAATCAAAACTTCAAGAGCTAGAAGGTCAGTAGCAAGTAGCTTGAAAAACAGACCCAGAGAGGGAAATGACTCAGAGTGTGAAATGGAACTAGAATCTAGCTCTCTTGGCTCCCAGCTTATTATACCTCATCTCCAGAAATATTGCTTCTGCAGTGGAAAAGTGCAGAGCACAGGACCAAGGAAGGTAGAGTAGAAACTCTTCTTCTCACTGAAGAAGGGTACACACTGAGACATTTGAAATGAAATGACCTTCTCTTGAATCTATAGACCAAAATGTCACACTTCAAATTAGGTATTTCACGGCATATTTTAGGCTCTGTTGCAAGGTGCAAGGGAAGTGGGGACGGACTAATAAGTTTACAAAAGTCCACGATTTGACAAAAGAAGGTAAAGAAATGGATTCTGGAAGATGAAAAGCCAATTTCTATTCTTTGGAGTCTAAGAAAATTCTTTAATAAGAACAACCTCTTCTTTTTTTTTTCCAATTCCAGATTTCCTAAATAATGCCCATATTAGACATAAATTTTGGTAAATATTATGGAATAAAAAAATTATGGTATCTGTTTTTTCCTGCTTAGGAAGAAGACACTGTCTTGGAGAACAGCTGGCTCGGATGGAAATGTTCCTGTTCTTCACAGCACTGCTCCAGCGGTTTCACTTGCATTTTCCACATGAGCTAGTTCCCAGTCTGAAGCCCAGGTTAGGCATGACACTGCAGCCCCAGCCCTACCTCGTCTGCCTGGAAAGACGCTAACGCCGCATGGACGTTGTGTGGAACGAGGCTCTATGCTCGCCTCGCCCCTGGACCTAGTTTAATCAGTGTGTGTGTTTGGACAGAAGTCACAGCATCACAAAGCCAAGTGAACACAGATATGTCTCTTAAAAACAATACCAGGCAAGAATAAGCATCAGCTATGATTTTCTTCAGGCTTTTATGACTTCTGCGGTACAATAATCTGTGAGGAAAACAGAGGTGCAAATGAGAGGTGTTGCTTACGATACTAAGATTTGCCCTGGCCGGTTTGGCTCAGCGGTTGGAGCGGCGGCCCGTGGACCAGAGTCGTGGGTTTGGTTCTGGTCAAGGGCACATACCTCAGTTGCGATTCGTCCCCTGCCCTGGTGAGGGTCATGCAGGAGGCAGCCAGTCGATGTGTCCCTCTCACATTGATGTTTCTCTCTCCCTCTCTTTCCTCTCTCCCTCCTATTCTATCTGAAGAAAAATAGAAAAATATCCTCAGGTGAGGATTAAAAAAAAACAAAGATTTGCCATGGGTGCCTTAAGCAGAGCCGGACTTTTCAGCCCTTGTTGAGCACCTGGTACCCCTCATCCCTTCTTGACTCCATCATGCTCCTGTCCTGAGGGCTTTGCTTTCAAGTGCAATGCCAGCTCCCTTCTGATCACATATTGTCACTGATAGTGTGCATGGTGCTAATCCAGTTAGCAAAGGACTAAGGAAGAAATTAGAACCCAAATGAGTTCAGACTACAGAGATACTTTAGACATGGTGGCAGAAATGTGGAGGTACGTGGCAGTTTTAGGGTAGGTATGGCCTGGATGGTCCCTGGGGTAATCAAAGATCCCTTTCTTTACCTCCCTCAGAGCTGGCTTCCAGGTGGCCTCAGCTTTACCGAAAGGCTGGCGTGAAATTGCATGTGTTTTGCCTACGTCATTGTAGAGAGAGTGAGCTTGAACTGTTTCTGGGAGAACAAGGGAACTTTTCATATGTTCCCCAAAAACATCTTTGTGTCCCAAAGGTCCTGATGTATACATTTAATGAGATTAGGGTTTTGTTTTTTTGTTTGTTTGTTTTTTGTTTCATAGAACTAGACAAGCTGTTTCTAAAATCTACATGAAGAGGTAAATGAATACAAAAAGAATAGCAGTGTGGGGGGTTTATTTAGGCCCACCACATATTGAAATATATGTATTTTAAAGCTTGAAAACTTCCCTGGCCGGTTTCTCAGTGGTTAGAGCATCGGCCTGTGGACCAAAGGGTTGTAGGCTCCACTCCGGTCAAGGGCACGTACGTCGGTTACGGTTCGTCCCCAGCCCTGGTCAGGGTTGTGCGGGAGACAACCAGTTGATGTGTCCCTCTCATGTCGGTGTTTTTCTCTCTCTTCTTCTCTCTCCCTCCCTCCCTCACACTCTATCTGAAGATAAATAGAGAAATATCCTTAGGTGAGGATTGAAAAAAAAAAAGCTTAAAAATTAAAATAGTGTAATAATGGCATAAATACTTAGAAAAATGGAATAGAAAAGAAAGTCAAATAAATAAAAAATATAGAAAAATATCGAGTCAGTGGAATAAAGATGGACTTTATTCCGTGTGAGAATAATTTATTGAATGTATTGTATGTACCAAGTGCACAATTAGCTGTTAAATTCTGGACTAACGATAGCTAGACAGGAACATGATTCTTGCCGTCAGGAAGGTTACAATTTAATGGATATATGGGTCATCACAGTGCTTTTCAAATATGGGCGTGCACACGAATTACCGAAGGATATTGTTAAAATGCTCGGGACACAGCCTAAGACTCTGCATTGATAACAAGCTGCCAACCAATGCCGATGCTGCTGGGCTACTGACCACACTATGAGAAGCAAAGTCAGATGGACTTTTTAATAAATTGTGTTGGTGTTGGGACTACTCTGTAGTTATTTGGAAAACAGTTAAAAATTTGGATTTATCTCTCATAGCATATGCCTTAATATACTACCAAATTTTATAAAACAAAGCAGTAACAGTGCTAGAAAACATGAATGAATTCCTTTTCAACTTTGGAATGAGGAAGCCTTTCCAACTCTAACTCAAAATCCAGAAGCCATAAAAGAAAAGTGATATATCTTTGGAAGCTGGTTCCACATTCGGTATGTTGGTTTTCATATTTTTGTTTTGTTTAACATGATTTATTCTGGAGATGTCCCCATATCACTCCATAGAAAGCTTCCTCATTCTTCATATAGCTGTAATATTGCAGGACATATTATGGGAATATAAAACACACAACAAAAAACAACAACATAAATCTTCTGCAGTGCAAACAACACCAAAGTGGAAACAAGCTGGGAAGAAATATGCAAATCTTATCACAAACCAAAGGCTAATCTTGATATCATAAGAATGCAGAAGAAAGTTTAACAGTACATCAGAAAACTGGTCAGTGGGCATGGACAGTTCACATACATATATATTAAAATGTAAACTTCTAAAAAGATAACTAAACCCTTCTCATAACAAAAGAAATACAAATGTCGTCCGGCCGGTGTGGCCCAGTGGTTGAGCATCGACCCATGCACCAAGAGGTCGCTGGTTCGATTCCTGGTCAGGACACATGCCCAGGTTGTGGGCCAAATCCCCAGCTGGGGGCATGCAGAAGGCGGCCAGTCGATGTTCTCTCTCATCTATGTTTCTATCTCTCCCTATCCCGTCCTCTCTCTCTAAAATCAATAAAGGGGAAAAAAGAAAGAAATACAAATGTAAACTTTATTGTGATAACATATCTACTATGTTGGCAAAAATTCTGGAATTTGACAACACACTATTGGGAAGGTTGTGCTAAAACATGCACTTTCGTGCAATGAAAGTACAAAGTCATACGTTTTCCTATCGAAGGGAATTGGCAATATCTGTCAAAAATAGATGTATTCACAAAGGGATGGGGATAGGTAACATCTATAATAGTGTCAACAATAAAAAAAATAGATGTGTTGATCTTTTGACTGAGCAATTCTAATCCTTAGGACTTTCTCCAGGTAAACTTGAACACATAATGAAGGAACATAAGTGTCAGGTTATTCACTAATGCACTTATAATAGCAAAACTAAACAAAAAAAGCCACTGTAACAACACATATCAATAGAGGAATGGTAGAATAAACTATAGAACATTATACAGCTATGTAAAGAATGAGGGACTTTTCTATGTAGTGATATGGAGAGATCTCCAGGATAACTCATTAAAACAAAAAGGAAAACCAACATACAGAGTGTGGCAGCCAGCCTCCAAAAATACCCGCAGTGATCTTTACCTGGTGTACACAGGGCTGGTCTGAGTGACCAAAAGAACGTGATGGAGCCCTGGCCAGTTTGGCTCCGCGGTTAGAGCGTCGGCCTGCAGTGCAGAGAGACCAGGGTTCAGTTCCTGCTAAGGGCATGTACCTCGGTTGCAGTTTGTACCCAGCCCTGGTTATTCATGCGGGTGGCAGCCACTTGATGTGTCCCTTTATGTCGATGTTTCTCTCTTCCTCTCTCTCCCTCCCACTCTACCTTAACAAAAAATGGAAAAATGTCCTTGGGTGAGGATAAAAAAAAAAAAAAAAAGAATGTGATGGAAGTGATGTTGTGTACTGCTAAGGCTTGTCTACAGGCATTGCAGCTCTTCACTTTGGACTTTGATGTTCTAGGGGAAGCTAATCCCCATGCCATGATGACATTTAAGCATTCCTGTAGAGAGACCCACCTGGAGAGAAACTGAGGTCTCCCACAACTTGCCAAGATCAACTTGCCAGCCATGTAATGAGCTACCTCGCAGGCAGATTTTCCTCAAACCTTTAGGTGACTGCCGACCCAGCTAGCATGTGTGATCTCTTGAGAGATCCTGAGCAAGGACTGCGTAGCCACGCCAGTCCTAAATTCCTGACTCACAGAAACTTGAACATAAATGATTACTACCAGTATATTTTGGTTGATTTCTTAGAAAGCATTAGATAATGAATACAAAGGATAGTATATAAAATATGTTCCCTTTTTGTATGACATGGGGAATAAGAATGTATGTGTGTATAATACACATCAGGAACTTGTATTTGAATAAAAAGCACTGGCTAGATTTCTAGAAGACCGAGAGAAAAGCGTAGGTGAGGTTGGGGTGGAAGTGAGGCATCTTAGTGTGTTTGTCTTTCATTCATTAAAATTTTGATTATATATCAGTAATTGTATTAATTTATATATAATCAAAATATGTAGTAAATATATAACATATAAACAAATAAAATTGAAACCACAAAGACTTAAAGATATATTCTTAAAAATTAAAAAATTTGCCTGGCCGGTGTGGCTCAGTGGTTGAGCATCAACCCCATGCACCAAAAGGTTACCAGTTCGGTTCCCGGCCAGAGTACATGCCCAGGTTGTGGGCCCAATCCCCGGTGGGGGGCATGCAGGAAGCATCCAATCAATGTTTTCTCTCATCAATGTTTTGCTCTCTCTCTTCCTCTCCCTTCCTTTCTCTCTAAAATCAATAAATTAAAAAACATTTTTTTAATAAATAAATTTTTTTTTTTTTTTTACAAAGTACTAATACCCAGATTAAATTGGAACCTCTGAGGATTTAAAGGCCCCAAATGATTTTAATGTGCAACATGTATAAAATACTGTCTTAGGAGCTCTTCTCCAACTTTCCAAAACTGACATATGCAGTAACAGAAAATCTAAACAGTCTTATAACTAAGGAAGAAATTTAATTCATAACTAAAAAAAAAATGTCTACAAAGACCATTCTAGGTCTAAATGAATTCACCAGTGAATTCTGACAGTCTTATACAAACACTTCTAGGAATAGGAAATGATATCTGCCCAACTGATTTTTTTCTAACGCTAGGATAATTTCGATACCAAATGTATATCTATATAAAGAAAGAAAAATGTATGTCAATTTCACTTATGCACAGAGATGCAAAAAATTATATAACACACATACCAAATTGCCTCTTAGGAGAACACCGGTCAGATTTGTTTAGGGCCCTCACAATGGCCTCATTTTAATTGAATTGCCTTTTACCTGTCTTCGAAGGCAATCACATTCTGAGGTACTGGGGGTTAGGGCTTCAACATGAATTTGGGGAGAGGGGAGCTCA